ATATATTTTCAACCAATAATACGCATGTACCTTCCAATGAATCTTTGTGTATCTGTGCTGCATCAGTCAACATTTCTCGGCTGTATCTGTTCTGCTTTGAATGGCCGGAGGTGTAACAGTTCTGGTCTGGTGTGGCTCTGAACATGCTGTTCAATGATTTCCCAGTAATGCAGATTATAGCGGGGCGGCCCCCCTTAAAGCAGATTAAAGAAGTGGCTGTCTGTCAGCCTGCCTGTTCTACTTGTCTGTCTGATGGCGTGCAGGTAGCAGATCACCAGTTTGTCTATTTAGTTTCAGTCAAAGGATGGGTGTCATTTTGCCCTCTTTGCACTGAATGCACAGAGAAGTAGCTTTAACGTAGGGATTGCAGAAGGTTGTGAATGAGGGCTCTTTTCTGCAATAAAGAGAAAGGTGTGAGGTAAGCACTAATCCTTTGGGCAAACAAATGCTTTCACACTCCACCAGGCACACACATATGAGAATGTGTTCCCTTGCTGGGGTGCCAGATTTATAGAGAACAGCATTTTTTTTTTCTGCTTGTTTCCCCCCCTAAAGAATAAGAGCATGTTAAATAAATACAAATACCTTTTTTCTTGCTTCATTAAAACTACATGCAAGGTGATTTTTGCAGAACTTGAAATATTAATATATGCAGTGAACCAAACAATCTCAGAAGCAAGAATGAAAAAGGACTAAAAACAGCAAAAAAAAAAAGGAGCTATTGATGCGGTTTGCTGATGACTGGTGAACGGGCTTTGTCAACACAAACATCCAAGTCTTCGCCTTTTTATACTCTGTATGCATGCATTCACAAATTGGCCATGGCATGTCTTCTGTCAGATCTTCCCAGAGGCTGACTAGGATCTCATTTACTGCAAGAAAAAAAGGAAAGAGGGGGGCCGTTAGATTGGATTGCCATTTAAGCTTCAACGATTCTAAAGTTTCCATGAGAAGACGGAGGAAATGAAAGATTAGACTGGCAGGGATGCAGAAAGGAGGGCACTGTTTTTAGAGTCATGTGCAAAAATAGAAACTTTATTAACACCAGAAAATCAGATTCTTCCCTGCTTAGAAAAGACTCAGGGGAAGCATTGCACAGATTGGTTTGATTATAACTGTTTCCTTCAGAAGTTAAATCAATATTTGAAAGCCAAACATTCTGTTAACTTGCTTAAATAGGTGTATAATAACACAAAAATAATAAAATTTGTAAAAGAAGAAACAAAAAAAGTAGCTAGTATTAAAGCTATAGTAATTCACTAACCAACCATAAAACAAAAGCTATGTTTAAAGCCCAGAAAATAAGAGTAGAAATATAGCAACCCTTTTGAACTTTTATATTAGCTGACCAGCTTTTTTCTTTTTTTTGTTTGTTTGTTTTTATTTATTTGAGTTAGGACAATGCACATTCATCAACATGTCAGCATGAAGCATCAATGTAAATATGCCAGAATTAGCAAAACAGCTAATTTGCATCCGCTGTCCTAAGGCAGGTAAAAACAGTGAACATTAAATAAGACACTACAGGAGAGAACAGAGTGGACACAAACAGATAAGATGCCAATAACATAAAATCACAAGTTAGTTAGTTAGTTTCCCCTGATATTTTACAAATGCATCTTTGTTGATGAGCTGCAAATCTGATGCTGGAAGGCCCTCTTGCCATCACCCTAATCTTTGGCTCCATCTACAAACTCTCTAATTTAAGTTACTTTAAAATCAATAATAGTACAATAGTACTGCGCATTTACACTGTGTTAAATGCATGCATTTTTAATTTGTGTAACTTCATCTCTAAAGCCATGTGTTTAATATTCAGGATGGATAAATAAAAGGTAAAAAAAGGTTAATATTACAACCATGAATCTTGCATAGGCAGGAATATTCATGTCAGGGAAAAAGCTTAGATATAAGTTTAAACAGAGAAAGTTTCTTAATCTCCAGTCAGAAAAAGAAACAGTTTCCATATCAGAGCTGCAGACCTGTTCTCGAAAACTCTTGGAGCAACAAGTGGTCGTACATTCTGTGAACGTAGTGCTCTAGGAGGACAGGGAACTGTGTAATCCTCATTAGTGAGGAGAATTTAGGTCATTTTCTAATTGTGTAGGAAGCCAAAGCGTTTATTTTTTTATTTTTTATTTTTTCTAACACACATATCTTTAACTCATCCTTCTCAGTAATCTATAGCTGCAGAGATTGGCATGAAAATTTCTTCGAAAACGTCTAAGATACTTGGATAATGATGATGATTCAGAGCCAGCAGGACTTGAGAAAGCTTTTTAGCATCATCCAGACAAAATCTACATCAGATTTAATAGTGTGGTGCAAATAAAAGCAAACAGAGACTCACTAAATTATAGATTAGTATGTTTAGCTGCTTCTGTCATCTAACTCAAAATGCAAACATCATATTATACAGAGAATAAAACGATGGGTATGACAGAAATATTCACATTACATATAAAATACACATGTATATTACATGACACAGATAAAAAAAATATTATCATAGAAATGTTATATTTTTACTTACATAATCTTGAGGAGCACTGCTAACTAGGCTGTTTTCCATCAGGGTGTCATTAATGTCCACAAAGAGAGAGCTAGGACACTTAACGTTTAGAGTGAACCGCCTGTTCACTGAATGCTGTAGACGATGATATTAATAGAAAACTGAGTGAAAGGAAAAACTGTGGCAGAAGAAAGCATGCCGGAGTCATGGACGACTGCAGCCGTTTGTAAAGCGAAACCCATTTCAACTTCTGAGGAGATTCACACTACGGGGACTGCAGCTGGAGACGGTGATTAAAGGTTCGGTGTAAATAAACTTCAGGTGTATCTAAACTGATTCCCTGACATCAACAATGAGGGTCCAGCACATGAGGACCAGCCAGGTCCCCATAAAGTCCAAAATAGGTAACATTTGCACATACACAGGCAGACATATTGAGAACATGGGCTACATATGTCAGATATCTTGTGTTAAACTACTTGACCAGAGCTGCTGTTGGATGTATCTTATCTAAGATCATGAAAAGAACCTAACTAATTATCTGTGTTACAAAGTCTGTGTTTCAGATAAAATAAAAAACAAAGACAACATTTGCTTAATTTTCTTCTGTTTTGGATAATTTAGGAGTAAATATTAAATGCAAGTGCTGGACAACAGTCAGCACAGCTAAACATCGGCGCACTTCATACCTCCTTAAGCTCCAAGCTGCAGAAATGTTTGCAAAAGCAGCTCAGACCCAATAATAACAAATATATAGATACAAATATATCTATTTTTTATTTTGCTGAGCTTATGCAATATTAAAATATATATAACTGGTTTCACTAGCAAGAGCTATTATCTATAAAATAACTTCTTGTTTGATGTCATTATGGTTACATTATGGTCTCCCAGTTAAGGAAAGAGTGAACGTTTGAGTAAATAATCATTAAAAAAACTTGATATATTACCTTTTATTTTCCTAATCCTTGAGATAAGATTGTCAACCGCTGTTTTCTGCCATTTATACTGAACATGTAAACAGAACATTGCATAAAGCAAAAAGCTCCAGCACTCAATCTGAGATTGAGTAGCTGTAGAAAAGGAGGATGTTCCCTCATTGGCACCAATAAACAGATCTATTATTTAAATGCAGTCGACAGGTTTAACAGCGTGGATTGTTATTTTAATCCCAATAACTTGATTCACTATTGAGAGATACGTGTTGTGGAGAAGTGCTGAATGTTGTGCATGTTCTGTGTTACTATAGTCACAGTATATGCAGACCAGATTCATTGTTTCTTCTCTCTAGCATCAGTGGGCGCTGCTGCAGAGTGAATCTCTCTGTCCTCATTTTTTCTGCTGTTGCCTGTTCCTCTCATCCGTACACACCAAAACACACACATTCACACACGCATATATACTCTCTCTGCCAGTCTCTCTCCTCCCTCTTTATTCTTTCTAATTCCTTCATCCCTCCCACTTTTTCCAGCTTGATCAGCCCCTCTCCATTGCAGTGTCTTCTCTCTCTCTTCCTCTCTCTCTCTCTCTCTCTCTCTCACACACACTCACTCTTATGCTCTTGCTTGCTCGGTCTCTGGCACATGCAGACCGAGGGAGGGGAGGGAATGAACAAGGTGCACACATGTGAGGATCTCCTCAACTGCCAGAGCGAGGCAGGACTGGCAACGACAGAAGAAGAAGGGGAGGAGGAGGAGGAGGTCTACAGGAATACTGCAGTGGCCATCCAGCTTCCTTTTCTTCTGAGTTCTCACTCTCCATCTCTCCCTGCTTCACTGCTTTCGTCCCCCACCCCCGGCCCCGTCATCTCCATCCAGTCTTCCCCGCTGCCAGCCACACCATGAAGCCGCCTGCTGTTTGTTGCTAAGGGGGCAGCCGACCAGGGGAGCAGAGGGAACCAGACGATATACATTTTTTTTTTGTCTTTTTTTTTTTATCTCCAGGTAATAAATGCATCACTGATGGCAACTGTCAGATATCACAGATGTTGCATTGCACTACAGACAGGGATTGGGACCTTCAGTCGCAGTATGGTGCTTGGTGAATTTGGAGCACAGTTTGCATGCCCTGTGCACAAACTCTTCCCAGTTTATCCAGTTTGTTTCTGTCGCTGGCCTTGTTTATTTAATTCTTTACTGGGGCTTCTATCCTGTACATTTGTTTAAGGTCTTCTTGTATTATTATGTGATAATGTTTCACGCTATGTATTGCATTTGTCTTCTTGAGGCATTGACCAGACACCAGGGGCCTAGTGTGGACTTTGGCTTTGCATGTTTGAACAGCTAAACTGGAAGGAAGGTGTTCTCTTAAATTACAGCTTCCTGTCCACAAGGGAACTATTTGCACACTTTTCTTTTCTGTGAGCAGCTGCTATGTAATCCATACTTGTCTGGCATTCTATATGGCCCTCGAGGCGGATGCAAAGATTAGCTGTCTGATGTGCTCAGACTCTAAAAGAAACACAAACCTTCTGGTGGCAATAACAAACAAAGAGGCGAGAACAGGTGATTACTTATTCACTCATGCACACCACCATTATCTGCAGTGTAATACATCTAAGTGTTCAACAGCGGATACAAAGCCTGCTTTCGTGTTGCTGTTTTGCAATCTAACCACGGACAGTTTTAATCAGTTGTTCCCGCTTTAACTTGCATCATTAAGTGGCAACAGTTATATTATAAATCTAACTCCATCTAGAAGATATGCCAGTGTATGAATTCATGTTCTTTACAAAAGTGTTTACACTTCTCAGAATTTCCATTATAATAATCTAGGTAAATGTTTTGTTGATATTTTTTACTGCAGGTAAGTCTGCAGGTTTTTTGGTTATGCTTCTACCAGAATTCCATATTTGAATTTGACAATTAAGGATAATTCTTGTTTGTGAAATCCATCAACCTTATTCTGATGGAAGGAGGCAACTCTTTAGGGGTATAGTGAGTGATGTTATTTTTCTGGGTGGATCATCAAAATAAGTGGTCCTCCTAATTGTCAATCATTCTGGTGATATGTTTACGTAAAGCTGTCCTATGTGCTCGTCCCATCTCGCACACTGATGAGAAAACTGAAACATGAACGAAAAGAGAACTTTTAAACATATTCTAAATGTTTTCATATTTCTTATGCATGGATGCCCTAAGATAGAGAGTTTTGTTGAACAGATACATTCAAATGACTTTTTTTGTACTTGTATGGAGACATGTTTTAGTTGATGGTCTACAGTCATTGTCTGATAAATATATTCTCTGCTCATCGGATAGGATATCCCGCTTTTGCTATCAACATCATTCTATATCACTTCTGTAAAAACATTAAGAATATGTTTAAAAGTTCCTTTTTAGTTTATATTTCAGTCAGTTCTCATCAATATATGAGGGTTTAGGGTGATATATGAGGGTTTAGGGCGATGCGAGAATTACCTCCCCTGACAGGGGAGGTAATTCTCAGCAGTCAGGTATTTCTTGGCATTTATCTGTCCATCAAAACTCCCAATTTTAGGGCATCCATGCATAAGAAATATGTAAATCTAAAGAATATAGTATTTCTCTTCATAACGCCGGTGGTGAGTCTGACATAGTAGAAAAATTGTAAATGTTCTTTAGGAAAGTAACTTGTATGAGCGATGCAAACAGCAACTTTTAAACAGAGCGTGCACGAGGAGAAATAGGCTCGTGCACACACTTGCATACGTTTGTTGTGCATACAAATTTTTGTTTTTTAAGTGGAGAGGGCGGGTCTTTTATAAAAAATCATAAAAATCCTCCACTATACATTTTAATTTTCTAAGTCTTGACTTCACAAACTAGTTACATTAATATACTGTGATCAAAAGACTTCCATCGTAACTGGCTGTATTCTTAGGTTTATTGTCCTGCTGGAGAATAAACCTTTAAACCAGTCTCAAGCGTTTTGCAAATCCTGAAAATTTTCCATTCAGCATTCCCAATTACTATACCACTGTAAAGTACAGATATACACAAAAAAGAAAAAAAAAGTACATTGACATAAGCGTAGAATATGCGTCTCTAATGTGCAGTGGTAAGTTGTTCCACAGTTGAGGAGCAGCACCAGAGAAGGAGGGCGTCCACTCTGAGCTTTTTCTTAGAACTTGGTACCTGCAGGAGCTGCTGTCAGCTGATCTGAGGAACCAGGAATATAAGCAGGGATGAAGAAGCTCAAAGAGGTACAGCAGGGCAAGATCAACGGACCACAGTTTCCATATGAGATGTAACAGTCCGGTGCTTTTTCTTCTTAGCCCAGATAAAATACTTCTGATGTTTTCTCTAGTTCAGGAGTTTCTCTGCCTTAGAAAGGCAACATTTACAGCCCTTGTGTAGAATCCGTCTGTGCAAAAGTGGCTCTTGATGATCAGAGTTCAACTTCTGTCAACTCTTTGATAATTCATTCTTTAATGAATTTAGATCAACATTTTTTCTTGAGGTTGTGGTTATTACTTTTGCTGGTGCAGCTTTTGGTAGCTACCTTCTTTCTATGAATACTCTCAGACATGAGACTCTGCAAACAACCAGTTTCTTTACCAATGAATGACATTTTGTGGCATACCCTCCTTATGGAAGGTGTCAATGAGTTTCATCTGGACGTCTGTCTGGTCAGCAGTCTTCCTCATGATTGAAGAGTTACTGCTGTATGAGGGTACGACATCATGAGTTTCCATCCTTAACTTTCATGATATTTTAATTTTCTGACACTATGAAATTTTGGTTTCATCAAAGCAAGAAAATAAATAAATAAATAAATATGAGAAATAAAAGATTGACATATTTCACTCTATGCCAAAACTATATAAGTTTCATTTTTAGAAATTAGTGACTAAAACCTTTTCATGACAATGACATCCTTTTGAAATGTACCTGTAAATAAATGTATGATTTGGTTGCAACAGATTTTACTTATGTTTTAGAAAAAAGGGGCTGAAGGTAAATGAATGAATTTAAATTTAGCTTTTCTTTTTTATTCTATTTGTAAAACCCCTTGATAACCATCTATTATTTCCTTTAGACTCTAGCTTAATGCAGTAATCTGTCTTAGTTTATCATGTAAAAATGCAATGGAACACACAAGGTCGTTGTGAAAAAGTAAAAAACTGTAAGGGGTGTGAAAACTTTTAAAAATAAGTAAGACTTATTTGGCATTTTATAGAAATAACTAATCATAAAGCCATTTTAAAACACATTTATCAGGTGCAATGAATAGAGAAGGGGAATAAGTGGGGAATTTTGTTTTTCTCTGTGCCTTATTGCTTTGTAAAATTCTCTATCAACAAAATCAATGACAATGATCCTGTGATGGACACACAGCAGCCTTCACTGGGAAGTAAGATTTGTAGAGTTTGGTATATGGAAATCCTGAGTTAAGCAGAATTAATTAAAGGAGCGAGTCTTTGCGACAGCTCAAAAGAAAAGGCAGATGACTGAGGGCTATAAGAAAAAAAAAATCCAATAACAACTGCTTTCAGAGTTCAGAGTGTAAGGAGGTGGCCGAGCTTATTTGAGGGAAGTGTGGTCAGGTCTAATATATCAAATATTAAACTGGAAGCTATTAGGGTACCATAGAAACAGAAATATAGTTCACTCTATCCATAATAGTGTAGTTATCAGCATTTCATATAGTTGGGTCCTCCCAATGAGAGTTGGCTTCTTCCTACAGTCCAAAAACATGCATGTCACAAGTACTTCTTAAAATTACCCTTAGGTCTGAGCGTGTGCATACTTGGTTTACTGTGTTTGCTCTGGGACTGACCGTCCTTCCAGATATTAACCAAACCTTGCACAGATTTCCTTGTCTTTATGTTCACATGCATAACAGACATTTTGCATCTTGGAAAGTCTTTTTATGGGTCAGAAGCTTAAAAAAGGGTCAGATGCTTTTAAGCAGTAGACACACCTACCTATTAGGGCGACAGTGGCGTTGGATGTAGGAGTTTGCCCTGAAATCAAAGGATTGACTGTTCAAGCTCCGGCTCCGACTTTCATTGTTGTTTCCTTGGGCAAGACACTTCACCTGCATTGTCTACTGATGGTGGTCAGAGGGCCTGGTGCCATCAGTGTACGCCAGCCCCACTTCTGTCAGTGAGCCCCAGGGCAGCTGTGGCTACAATGTGGCTTGCCACCGTCATTATGTGTGTGAATGGATGAATGACTGAATGTAGTGTAAAGCGCTTTGGTCAAGTCTCTTGACTTGAAAAAAGGTGCTATATAAGTACAGGCCATTTACCATTAGCTAAATCTTGTTACTAATTGGTTGGGTTTCTTTTTTTCCCTTCAGAACTATCTTTATTCTTCATTTTTTGTGTTTCTGAAACATTGTTTCAGAAACATTTTTGAGAGGTTTTAGCTCGTAATAACATGGTAGTGTCTCACAGTTGTTGCAGGTTTATCAGCTGTACACCAATGATCTGAATCTCCTGTTTAACCGGATCCCAAAGCCTCTCTGCTGTAGTTAGAGCTGATTGATGTGGAGGGAACTCATTGCTGTGTTCCAGCAACCTGTTTTCAGATAATTTGGTGCTTTGTGGCATGGCACATTTCTCCTGCTAGAAACAGTCATCAGAGGATGAGTACACTGTTTTTTACAAAGGGATGGACATTGTCACCAACAATACTTAGGAAGGCTGTGAAGTTTAAAAATGCTTTATTGTTGCTAAGGAGACAAAAGCATGGCAAGAAAATATCCCCCACTCCATTATACCATCACCATGAGCCTGAAGCATCGATACAACAAAGAAACAATCCATTATTTCATGTTATTTATGACACATTCTGGCTGTACTAAATGTAGGATATCAGACTAAAAATGTTTTCTCTGTGCGTTAACATGCCAGTTTTGGTGAACCTGAGTGAGTCCTAGCTTCCTGTACTGTAACAGGAACTTTCCCTGAATGTAGCACTCCACGAGGTCCTATGTGGAGTAGGCAACCTCTGTCCTTCAATGCCACTGTCCTGCAGCTTTTTCATGCATCTCTTCTTAAAGACACCTGAGACAAACACATGGTTAATGGTCAGACCTCTACTGAACCTCCCAACATGCCAAGGAGGTAATTTGGTCTTTGGTTTCAGATGTGTTGGAACACGGATGCATGCTTCAGGAAAGCGGTACACGAGGACCAACATTGCCTACGCTGAGGTGTTGGATATTCAGACTGTAATCGGCTTCATCGGCTGTAAAACTGTGCTTATTTGCATTATACATGATACAAACAACACCAATAACTTCTTATTAATGAAACTCTTCTGTCCTCTAATTGTTACCTGTTATAATGGCATCTGTTGAACTCATTACTTGTCTAAAGCCAGACTCCAAACACAACCATGGTCAAGACCCAGAAAAAGTCAAATGTCACATAACACAGGAAATAAATTTGCACACCTGCACTTGGCTGGCGAGAGTGAATTTACAATAGGCAAGCAAGTTGATGTGAGTAAATCAACTTTGGGAGCAACTTCCTGGCCGCATGCAAGTTCTCCTCCCAAGGGGACAAAATGATCATGAGAGCACTGAGCAACAATGCCAGTACTACATGGAGGGTCCTAAGGAATGGCCTGCAGAGAGCTGGACCCAAAGTAACAAAAGCCACAATCAGTAACACAATACTGAGGGACCCAGAAAGACTTAAATCCTGCTTCATGTACTGCTTGAACCAGTAAATGTCCGGGCCCATCTGAAATTTCCCAGAGAGCACATGGATGATTCAGAGGAGGATTGGCATAACATCATGAGGTCAGAGGAAACCATACTAAAACTTGTTTACACAAACTGAACCGAACAAACAGTACGCAGAGATCCATCCCAAGATGTTTTGGGGCTGTTTTTCTGCAAAGCGAACAGGACGACTGATCAGTTTTATTGGAAGAATGAATGTAGCTATTTATCATGAGGTTTTAAACCAAAACCTCCTTCCATCAGTGAGAGCATTGAAGATGGAATGTGGCTGTCTACCAGCAAGACAATGATCCCAAACACGTCGCTCTGGCAACGAAACTGCAGTCCTGTGAAAAGCAATTCATGGTTCTGGAGTGGCCTTGCCAGTCTCCAGAATTCAACCACCTAGAATATTTGTGGAGGAAGCTGAAAGTCTGTGTTGCTCAGCGATAGCCCCAAAACATCACTGCTCTATAGAAGATGAGCATGGAGGAATTGGCCTAAACACCAGAGCGGTGTCCATATCTGGTGAAGTCTAACAGGAAATGTTTGATCTCTATCCTTGCCAAGAAGGGTCATGCTACAAAGTAATAAGTTAAACTTTTGTTTTTGACCAAATGATTTTCCATCATAATTTACAAATAACTCATTTGAACTCCACAATGTTTTCTGTACTTCCTTTTTTTTTTTTTTTTTAGCATTTTTATCTTTCACAGTTGAAATGCACCTATTATGAAAATTACAGGCCTCTTTCATTGACCCATGATTGGATACTATAGTAAACACTTTTTTTTTTTTTACCCCACTTTACCTTAGAAAATTGCTGGTGAGTGTTTTCCTTGATTCAATCATTTCTCTACATTTGTAAGACAATTGGAGCCTGCCTGCTTCCATCATCATCAGCTGGATATTTTTTTCAGATGGTTATAACCACAGTTTTGTTTTAGGAAGTAGCTCCTTTCAAGACTTTTGACTTTAAAAAAGTGCTAAATACAGTAAGTACAGGCCATTTACCATTGATCATTTCTCCACAGGCCTTACTGAAAATGGCAGAGGGGTCCAAAGATCAAGGAGGGACTGGCCCCATAGAACCAGAGGAAGATTCTCCAAACATGATTGTCTACAGAAAGGTCAGTCTATGCATGGCTCTCTGCTCTGCATTTCAGTATATAACGTGACAAACAAATCCTCAATGGTTTTGTCATTTGTATCAAAGTGTACAAACCACACACTGGTTTCACTGTCAGATGTAAGAATGTCTTTCCTGTCAACCATTTTAAATCAAGTTCCCTTCTTCTTTTTCCCCTTTCTTCGGAGCCTTAATAAGTCTTCTGTGTCTGTTTCCAGGCTCTCCTCCAATTTTTTAATAATCTCCCAATCCCTTTACTGAAAGGCCTGGGCAGTGAGGGATCCTTTCATTGTCGGGGGTAATTACCTCGTCCCCATGGCGCCTTTACTTTCAATCAGTACTTTTTGATTGGAGAGGGTCAGTGGTATTGGAGGCTAATTATATGCATATTTGCCTGAGGAGAAGTAGCTAATTCTCCAGGACTGGGATTTGTAACAGCCAATGAGGGAGTGTTGTTTTTAATGTGTACAACAGATGGCTAGTGAAATTCATTGCCCTTTACCGGGAAACTTGGACTTGGTCTTTTGATTAGATTTACCATGAGCCAATGGCATCCATTGAGCATTTTCTATGGATCACAGCAAAATAGTCTTAAACCTCCAATTTAATCCTGTGCCCAATGGCCATTTTATTCATATGGTGATGTAAACAGATTAGTGGAAGGATGAGCAAGTGATGTTGACAACATCTGTGTCAAGGGCTAATATTTCTTTTGTAAGGATGTTGCCCAATAGAGAGTAGCATTTTGTGATTGCTGTGAGATTTCTAAAAAGTGTTTACCTTGCTAAAATACTGTTTCAGGCCTCTTCGGTATTCTGACTCCTAATAAGTCTCAAAATATCCCAATGACTATGCAGGCATTGTGTGAAAATGGTGAAAATCTACCTATTTACCTTGAATCTCCTAATGATAATCAGATGTGTGAGTTATTTTTTCTTTTAAACAAATAACTGTTTTTGTAAAGTGGAGTTAAGTTATTTTTATGTTTTGCTTAGAAGTGGTTAAATAGTGCAGAAGATTTGCTGATTTGGTCCGGAACTGTTGTGCAGTTGTTATGATCTTTTGGCAACCATTGAGAATTTTCCATTGATCATATGGTGTGGAAAGAACTAAACCAAAAAAACAAAACAACCAAACCTCTTGATTTACCAAATCCTCGTGATAGTTATTGGCAACAGTTTCTAAAATGCATTTTCTCCCTAGAATGGTCTTAGAGATAAAGTCAGGAGCTCCATAATCTGGAAAAAAGTTGCAGTAAAGCATGAACTTTTGCATTGAAACCACATCAGGATGACCAAATTCCCTATTCCTTTCCTTAGGAGGTTATCTTGGTATGTCCCACTGGGAAAAGACCCTGAAATAGACCCAGAAATTCCAAGAGGAACCTTAAATCTCTTCTGGCCTTAAAGAACCTTTTAATTCTCCAGAATAAGCTAAGGGTGTATCTTATTCTGGAGCTAGCTAACTCTTTAACTGGATCCCAAAATATGATTAAATTAATGAATTGACTTTACATCCCAAAGCTTAGAAATCCTAATTAATTGGAATGACAAATAGAAAAACAAACACTTGTTTTTTCTGCTCCATCCAGAAATTCTGCAGCAACAAAACAAGTGCAACCTGCAGCCCCATTTTCCCCGCTAGCCCCTGGCATAGCACAGCGGTTTGCCATTGTGTCAAAGCAAGGGCAGCCCACAGCGTAGTGTGCTGGTGCACATGCTGTTCAGCTTGGTTGAACTTTGGCCAAAGCGCAGCATGAGAAATACCTGTGTGGGCACTAGAAACGAGTCATCCAGGCAGATTGGACTGATGTTTGTATGATAGGGAATAACCTACATCTATCGACATCTTGTACCTGGGTCTTTTAAAACTCGTTTGTTTGGGAAAAAAAAGTTTTTCCTGCTTTATTTATTTTTTTTTGTTGCATGGTTTAAAGTGTAAACCATTGAAGCTAAAGATAAATATAACCTAAATAGACATTGCTGCTTAGATTGTTCCCTGCTGCTCTAAAAGCTTTTGTGCACAAATGTATAAAAAAAAAAAAAAATGATTCTTTGATTCCAAAGGTTAGGTCAGAGGTCTGCTTTTCATTTCCTGTTAGTTAGTTATGGATGTTAGTTATGTTTAAAATATTATCAGAGATATCCAGATTCCTTCTGTTTTTGTTTTCTTTGCTCCTTAATGTTTGAGATCAACACTGGATCTCAATACCTCTTTTAGATAATATAAGAGTGCAAAAAGCTGATGCCAAAGTTGATGCCATTTCTAAAGGAAATAATGTTTAATAATCATAAGTTAAAAAATTATTGACCCCATTATCTGTAAATTTGAGGTTCATTCTGCCTCCCCCACCCAGCCCTATTAAAATGTATAATAAAAAAAAAAACAGTAAAACAGAACCTGTCCAACAACAGGAAGTAGGCTCAAAGATCTCCAGAATTAAGGACCAAGAATAAATCGACGACTCAGTGTTCTCTGGGAACTGTTCTGTGAATAAATAAAACACAAGTAGGATCTTTTGAAAGTAGTCATTTGTTACAACTAGTGTAAAATTGTCTTGGAATTTCCAAAAGAGAACATTCAGTACCATCAGTCACGCATACTGGTGGTTCCTTTATTTCCTGGGGCTTTCTTGGTACTTCATGTCCTGGACAGCTACAAGTTCTACTCCTTAGTAGAAAATCTCCAAGGAAAATGACCACCATCAGATTGTGTCCAATAGCTCAAGTACATTTTCCTGCTATGCTGCAGGACAATGATCCAAAGCACATCATAATGTTCAACTCTGAATCAAAATAGAAGGTTTTTGAGTTACAGCGTGAAAGTGCTGACTCTAATCCAATTGAGATGCTTCAGTTTGACCTTAAAAATTTTGCATGCATAACACAACTCTGAGCAAACTATGCTTTCCATTCTTCTCCCATCTGATGTCAAACGTTTGCATAAGTATTTCTTAAATGTCATACTTCTCAGCTATTATTAGTATTTATGTGTATTCAAGTGTTTAGCATTACAACAATTTCAGAATTCATGCACCATTGCAGATTCCTGAAAACATAAAAAAGAGAACACTGTAGTTTGCTGTAACTGAGTGCAGCTTTATTACATAACACTGCAAACGCCTGGAGGGGACACATTTAAGAGTCTAGATTTTGCTTGTCAGAAGGCCGTCTGGGGGAATATCAGTCATTTCATGTTTTAGTCATACGATGTGACAACAGACAGATTATTCTCAGAGTGACAGTTCTTTGTGCCCTTGCTGCTATGCATTTTTTAAAAGCTTTTAAACAGTTAAATTCAGAATGAAATACAGTTAGACATTTTAAAAAGCAGAAAAAAGCTTTAAAATTCCCTTAATTCGTCCTAACATTTATCCATTGGTGATTGAGAATGCACAGGACCAAACAGACGAAAGGTGATGAAATTTTGAGGGGCTATGGCACCCACAGCCTCTGGACTCAGTGGGTGGGCAAGCTGGCACAGTGAGAAGGCTGAACAGCGCTTGCAGAGAGCCAGATGGCCCCCAATATGCTCTGCCGCCTGGGAAAACACTAGCAGCCTCATCCCGAAGGCTTCAGCCTCTGTCAGCTGGAAGACTTCACAATCTTACCCACAAGGAATAAGAGCTAGTGTGATCTCAAAGAGGCAAACATATTCCAAAGTGGATCTCCTTTGGTTGTACTGCATAAAGGAAATATAATGTCCAATCTGCAACATTTTCTGCAAAAGAATATTGAGTTAAGTGCGTAGGCCGTTAGACAAAGGTGACTGTGACGTATCTTGCCGTAAGAGAAGTGGAGTGCTCTGGAGAGGAGGAGGTTGTCTCTGTTGGTGCAGCGTAGGCGGATACAGTGCTATCTTCCTCTGTCTCTTTCTACCCATGAGGGAAAGAAAGTAGGAAAAAACAAACCAATAAATGTCTTATTGCCAAAGAAACAAATGGGTGCACAGTCATAGGTTGCAGACATACTCATACTCAGCTATGTCAGACTTCTTTTCTCGGTTTGTAGGCGAATACTGTGGGACTGGCACCTAGCATGCAACAACAGAGCTAAGAAAAAAGGATAAGTGTGATGGAGAATTAAATTAAGCTAAGGGTAGAGGCCACTTTACAGCTCTGATGGGGTGAAGCTCGCTAACTATTAATAGAGAACATCTCTTGTCCCTAAGTGCTGATGTGTTTTTTCCCTTTTTCCACCAGGCCATTGTTAAGACTGAGGCTTCCCGTCTGATACAAGTATATTTTCAGAAAAAAAAGATTTACAGTTGGAACTTCATTATGCCTTTGAATAGTATTTTAGCCATTGCTCTGTTTTTAAGTGTTTTTTAAAAGATGTGGATAGGGAAACATTAGGAGTTAACATTTGCCTTAAATCTAAGACCAAAAGAAACTTTGGTGGAGAGAGAAATACCAAATAAATAGAGTTCACTCTGACATGTGCATTCAAGAGGATGCAGCTTTACGAACATTAGCAGTTTGTCATGGTTCATTGTTTCCCGGTCTCCTACACAACTGGTACATTTTGCATGCCTGCAAGTGAGTCCCTGATAATGGAATCTGTCATTTTGGTGGTAAACAGAGGAGGGTGGTGGTAGCAGGACAGGCTAATGTTGGCATCCTTGCAGGATTGACTTCAGTATAGTTGGAGGACCAAAATCTTGCTTTGTGGAAAGCATGGTCCCATCGGCTTTTCTGGTTTGAACAAAGAGTCCAAAAAACAAAAAAAAAAAAAAAAAACATCCTTTCCCACTTCAGATACGCTGGCAGGTTTTAACTGAAACCAAACACAAATGCAAACTTTTTAACATGAAGAAGGGAGATTTCTGGGTGATGACTCTAATAGGATAATCCTATCTATAAGATAATAATTTCTGTACAGTCCACATTTATTGTTTTTTGTTAAGCATGGCCGCAGGAAGTGGGGGTGATGGGGTGTTGCAGCACCTCCTAGTGGTGAGAGGGAGACAAAAAAAATTTATGAAAAATACTTTGCACAATTT